CACTCAAAAACCGCAACTAGAATTAAGCACGAATCATCAAATGCACGATTCCTCTTCGTTTTTCCCTCAGTTTTGCCTCTCTCTCATTTACTGAATCAGCTCGAATGAGCCAAAGAGAAGAAGCAAATGAGCTGAAAATCTTCCAAATGCACGCTTTTTCTTTGTTTTCCTTAGTTTCTCTCCTACATCATAAGAAAAATGAATAAAAAAACGCAAAAATAAGCTAAGAAATCTTCAAATGCGCGATTTTCTTTGATTTTTTCCCCTCGCTTTTCCTCTCCTCTGTTAGAAAACCGATAAACAAACGCAAAATAAGCTCAAAATCTCTCAAAATGCTTGATTTCTCTACGTTTTTCCTTCGTTTTTCTCTCCTCGATCACAAAACGAATAAAAGAACGGCAAAAGAAACTCAAAATTCTCAAATGCGCGCTTTCTCTTTGCTTTTCCCTCGCTTTTTCTCTCTCAAACGATAAAAAAAGAAAAATCCGCAACAGAAAAAAGCAGGAAAATTTCTAATCCACGTTTCCTCTGCTTTTTCTTTCCCAAACAGAGTCATACAATATTCAAATTAAAAAAAAAAAGAAGCCAATGCTTTACCTGAAGACGAAAGAAACTGTTTCGTACTGTAGAGGAAGATAACCGTAGGAATCAAAGATCAAGATTCTAAGTAAAATCAACAAGTCTTCTTCTTCTTCTTCATCTTCGAATTTAATTTATTGTAATATTCGAAACGCGGATTGGTTGGAAAGTGATCAACTGTGAATTAAATACAAACAAATAAGAAAAAAAATATCGAAAGAGGAAAGAAGCTTCGGCTTTCGCTTTTGCAACCACGGCTGCCGTCGTCGTTTTTTGTTTCTATTTTTGTCGTTTCGACGTTTACCATTTCAAAAAACCTTAAGAAGCAAAAAAGCAGCCAAAACTGGGAAGGACTTTGATTTCTTCAAAAGTTAATGTTCGGCCAACTGAACAAGGACAAGAGCCGTCGGGACGATAACTAACTGTTATTCAGTGCGGTAGTGTTTATGATTTGCTGAAGAGAAGAAAGAATGAGGGAGTGACACGTAAGATGAAGGGTGAAATGGGGAGAGGTGATTGGTTTGTTTGGTTTGGGGAAGTCAGGAGGAGTTGTAGTGAATTTGAGTCGGTTGTAACCGAAAGGAAAAGAGGAAACGACGTGGCGCCTTCGTTGTTGTCGCGTGTGGGTACAATTGGAAATGACCATGAC